CACGCGTGGCCTTCGGTGACGAAAGATTTAAAAGGGCAGGTAAAGCACTCGGGGCTTTCGGTTACTATGTTACTAAACGCTTAAAAGGTGGGACCGCATGGTTTGCTAAGGTAATTAAAGTTATCAGGTTTGTTAAAGAATTATGGTTTTGAAGCTTAATAAGTAGTTAAGATAAGGGTGGGATCCGGTTTATCAGGCGAAGGTTTTCACAGGTGATGGAACTAAGTTTCGGATACTCAGTAAGGACAAAGGCGTAAAAGCACAGGGTTAAGGGGCTGCAAAAGCTTAAAAGTTGCTAGGCGGGTTCCGGCCAATCAGAAACGTAAGGTTTTTTCTGGCCAATCAGAAGGTTTTGGAGGCAGGAGCGTCACGGAATCACGGTTCTGCTTTAATATATAGGATAGCAACTGCGGCGTCACAAAATATGCCGCTAAGCGGTAATAAGAACCTTGTGGTATAACATAATTATGGCATTTTTGTGAATTACTGCGCATTTGCGCGTGAAGTCTGCAAATTACAGCAAATCAACGGAAAATGCCAAAGCAGAAATCGTAACTGCGTTTAATCAACAAAACTGCAGTGCATCTGTAAATGAAGTGGGCGACTACGGTCGCTTGATAAAAACCGCGTATCGTTATCGCCCAACATTGACGGAAATAATTAATAGAATCAGAAGTAACGATTGCGTTTCGGTCAGATACAGCGCTGGTACTTGTCGGTTTTTGGAGAGCTTATTACGTAGTATGTATATTGAGAATCATACGATTATGGCAGGGTCATCGCGAGCTTGGAGGGTAGGGTGGATGTACGGCCTTGCGCCCGGCGCCCCAGTTCAAATATGGCCTAAAAGGAATGCAAAACCGTAGAATCATGCCTTTTTTGAGCCAGTGACTTCTACACTTTTTGTTTTTTTCTTATTTTGTGGTCGCGTCATTCTTCCGCTTTCACCCTCTAGGACGGTGCCCCAACGCCCTCTCGCGACAGCCCCGGATTTTGGTATATAATATGATTGCTCATTCAGTTTACCTAACGAAGTTGCATGGCGTTAAATGGCATATTTTTTTAAAGTGTGCGAAAACAGAAATCTTACACTTTTACCATACAGCTGCGAAGTGACGCTTTTACATATTTTGTACTCAGTTTTCCATTCTCAGTGCCCGGCAAAAATAAATTTCAAGATGCTGTTAATATCTTAAGTGGAGCAAACTGTTTCCCTTAATTTGGATTAATTAAATGCGCAAATTACGCAAACAGTATTTAAAAGTTACAAAACCTGCGCGCGCTGTCATAAGCTATCCGAAAACAAACTCCACGAAAACAGTCAGTTTTGCTTATAAGTTGTAATTCAAGGACAGATCTGGAGAAAGCAGATCCACGGCATTTTTAAAGCAGCGTATTAGTCTGACAATTATTAAAGGCAATGCGGCTGCGGTTTTAGGAACTTTACCGGGCAAGAATAAACTCGTTGATAATACTGATTTTGGTTGTTTTTTTAATTTTTGAATGGGTAATGCCGGCCGTAGTGATTTGACTCATGACTATTATGTCGCGACGTAAAAGTAATAAAGAACAATACTTTTTAGTTGTAATTGCTCTTCATATGAGGTGTCCATGCATTTCGGATGCCGGAAAACCAGAAACGAAATTAATATACGTAGTACAGAGACAACATTTATATACAGAGGTAAATAACCGATTCACGTGCGGACATAAAATGGAAATGTCTTATCGCAAAATGTATACCGATTACCGATACGTAAGCTTGTAAGTTGTACCTATGAGGCAATGACATCATTGTAGCATTGAAAATCACTGTGTCATTGTGTGATAATCACTTAAGAAAAACACTGTGTCATCGTCGATAAGCTAACCATTTTCAATACTTTATAAGTCTTCTTGCGAGTTACCGTACCGGCCATAGGCAAAGCCAAATTCTTCTCGTACTAATTACATTTAATTGGTACTACCCAGGTTATGACGTACAGATATCGTCTTAACCGTCCTTATAATCAGACACAGACTAATGTTCCAATAACTTCGTTTTACTGCCATGCAGGACAGCTTGCGAAATTTAAACTGGGTATGGGGCTATTATTTGCCATCTTTACGATAATCCCCCCAGGTACGTATTTTCATTAATTTACAAGTTAGTAAGTATGTATAAAATGAGAAGTATATTAGATCAAATTAATAAATTATTGACCATACCGCCGCGTGCGTTGGCGATAAAATCAAAATACTTCTTGCAAAGATTGTGGAAAAAATGTCATGTAATGCGTAATGACGCACAGCATGGACAGCTAAGTTACGAGTATGAAACCTGATAATGTACCGGATTTTTTTCAATCCGGTACATTATCAGGTTTCAGTGAAGGTAGACAATGCTAACCACATAATTCCGCTGTGTTTTGATTAATTTTCAATAATATGTATATTTATAGCTGTTTCCGGGGGTAAAGGGATTATCGAAGCAGTGCCTGGAATTATTACAGCAGGTTGGGTCATCTTCTACAGTGCAGTTGCACTAGTTACTTGGGCACTGTCAAAATCGCGCTCTTCCGAACAAAATCGTGCGAATTGTAACTCCACGATTAATCCACAATTCAGTGTACCTGCTACACCACCAGGATTATTCTTCTACAAGGTGTTAACGGTCTTCATGGGGATCAGTATCTTGCTGTCCGTGGCTAGCCTCACAAACGCTATCGTCGTGCTGGTCACTGCCGCAGAAAGCGTGGTCGAAGTGTCAGGTTTAATGGGAATCCTTACCGGGGCATTTTTCCTTCTTTTGGAACCGTTGTCTTTAATCTCCGCCATTTATGATATTAAACACGCCGGGCGACCAAGAACGCCACCAACGTTTGCCATGTCACTGGAGCCCCGACATCGCACAAACAGCTTACTTCACGAGGCAGCCACGACTGCAAATACGTCATCATCGCATTACCCACAAATACCTCTTACCAATATTATATATTTGCCAAACGTACCACAACATGTGTATCTAGACAACTTGGGTAGCAGACCAGATGTTCCCTCTTCGGTTAATTATGACAGTCGGTGCGACGTTCTACCAGCTTATTCAGATGTTGTCAAAGTCTGAAGCTTTTTTAGTATTTGCTCAATGACGAATCCCGTGCTAATGTAAATTATTGTTCGTATTGGCATGCAAATGTGCAGTGGTTCTAAACTGATGCAAACTGTGTTAACTAACAAGACGTTAACTGAGGTTAACTGAGATCTCTGGTACTCCATTAAGCACGACCTTTCACGCTGTTTTAGAAATCAAAATCGACGCTGATCCCTGGCGATCTTATTTACGTTGATTTCTTTAAACACTCAAGCTAGAGTTGTTATCAGACGTTTGCGCGCGTTGTAATTAATTTAAATGGCGTATGTTATACCACGAGGGTCTTAATCTTCTTATTTACGCTTAGCGGCATTTTTTGTCCTACCGCAGTTTTTGATAGGCATATTTAGTTTATATCCCATAATTATAACTGGACATTCACACTACATAGGACACTCGAATTTGATTTTCGCCATGCCCACTGGACCATTACCGATGAAAAAAATTTCTAAGTTTTCCCTTGGCCTACTCTAGTACTCCGACTCTAAACTCGCATGCAGAAGTACATGACCCATCTGTACCTAATTAATTAATTCATGAGGCGCGCGTGCGTACTGCAGTCAGCTATCCAACAACCAACTGGTTCGGATACCGGAAAACAAGGAATAAAAATTAATCCAGTACCACAATAACATCAAGCTGTAATAAATTTATTTACCTTTACTTCTAAATACCGATTCACGTGCGTGCAGTACAATGGAGATTACTTATCGCGGTACGAGTAACTGGTGTGACATCACTCTAGTATTCCAAATCACTGTGTCATTGTTGATAAGCACTGAAAAAAACCGTGTCATTGTTGATAAGCCAACCGATTTGGATAAAAGCGAGCCACCGACCGTAGACAAAGTCAAATTTTACTAGCGGCCTGTAACTGGTGCTAAAGCAATCAGAGAATGACGAACCATCCCAGTCGTGCGGAAAATCAAGCACAAACAACTTATATTCCAATAACTTCGTTTTATGACGATGCAGGGAGCCTAGCAAAAGCTAAAGTGGGTTTGGGGCTATTGTTTTCCATGTGCATCATACTCACCCCAGGTACGTATAAATTTAATAGATTATTCATTATATTATTAATAGTATTTTTATTATGTATAAATAATAAATTTTTCACCAAAACACGGCGGTTATGGACTCCAGACTCGAAGCGCGGTTATTTCTTGCAAATACTTGCGCGATTCTTGTAATCTGGAAAGAAAGGTTTGTAGTGCGCAGTGGCTTGCCGCACGGGAATATATATAATAGTTGTTAAGTCGCAATGCGAAAATGTTGTTATTATGCTTTCAATGGATGTTGGCATTTCCATCCTCGCAAATTATTTTCTAATTTTCTACCTTATTTGCAGTTCTCTGCGCTGGTGATGGGCTTGTCGAAGCGGTTCCTGGGATTATTACAGCAGGTTGGGTCACCCTCTACTGTACCGTTACGATATTTGTCTGGGCACTGGCAAAATCGTGCTCTTCCGAAGAAAATCGTATGAACTGCACCTCCACTCTGGAATTACAATCCGATGTACGAGTGCCTACTATACCACCAGGATTACTTTTTTACAAAGTGTACGCTGTCTTCTTGGGGATCAGTATTGTTCTGTCCTTGGCTTGCTTCGTCCATGCCATTGTCGTGTTGGCCACTGTAGAAACCACCGAAGGCGCCATAGTGTCAGGTATCATGGCAATCTGTACCGGGATATTTTTTCTTTCTATGGACATGCTTTCCTTCGTCGCCTCCGTTTATGAAATTAAGAAGGCCGGTCGACCTAAAACGCCACCAACCGCGGTCATGTCACCGGAGACTGGTCATCCCACAGGCAGCTTACAGTCTGAGCTCCACGGTGCAACCATGACTGAAAATGTGGTGTCATCACATTATCCACAAATGCCTCCTATCAGTATTATACGAATGCCAAGCGTACCTTTTTGCCCAGGAAATTTGGGTAGTAAACCAGAATCCTCTTACTCTGTTAATTATTACAATCGCTGCGATATTCCGCCGGCTTATTCACATGTTGTCAAACTCTAAAGCTTATCAAGGTGTATTCTCATTGACTAACCCCGTATTCTGAATAGAAATTGTTGCCTAAATTTGGCATTTAAATGTGCAACAGTTTGAAATAATTTATTTATGTAAACAGTGTTAACTAATAAACCGCTAACTGAGGTTTCTGGAACATGACCTTTCAGGTCGTGGTTTCAAAATCTACGAGTACTATTCTGCGCTAACCCGGGCGACCTCATTTACGTATACGTGGATCTTCATGAACACTTAAGCTAGTTACCTGGCTCCTGCACTATAATAACATCGAAGCTTATTAGATATTTATCGAAGTAGCAATTATGGTGCTATTAATTAATGCTGCGATGAGTTTGGTAACATTAATTGCGCAGCAGAAATTAATGAACCGTGGTAAATAATTATAAAAACGCATCATAACTGATTCGAGTGGAAGCTAGAAATAGTACGAGGGCCGCTATTACTGCCATTTATATTAAATGTAGATAAAAATTAAAATCATCACACCTCTTAGGAAATTAAGCGACATGCTTCCGCTGTGCGTACATAAGTTGCGGAATAATTTTATACAGTGTACCTGCCCAATTACAGTAGCAAAGCCTCGCCCGCATTAATTCGCCTATTAAAGCAACGCGATTCAGTTAAATGAACTGTGGGAACGACGCCTAGTAATCTGATCCAACGAAGAATTCACGCACGCACATACGGTTTCTGGAATTATTAATATTTCAGAGTGCTCCAGCTGGAAGGTAAACCAAGAGGCCGGCATCGTCCCGATGTCATCCAGGCGAAAAACTGAATGTAAATTTCAACAAAATGTTATCGCGGCGGTACTGGAAGACATTACAATTGACTGCCAGATAAAAGTGCAATGGCGTCCTACCCAATACGCCTACTCGTTTTCTGGTTGAATACACGTTTTGGCCGCTACGCAAAGCTACGCCATAGATCAAAGTGCAATTTTAGACCGCATCACGTGCATGGCAGTGGGATCAAATGGATTTTGGATACTGGTTGTAAAAGGTCAGGAATTACTGACATAACGGATTCCGTGAACTGTTGATTTTATTTACGGATTTATTGTTGGCTTTAATGAACTGTTACCATGCATTGCTCCATAGAATGCAGGCAACGTCTCTAGAGAAATCTGTGTAGCCGTAATTTTTGAAATTTGCAATGTGACCGGGCAGTATTACTGTGTAATTGACTCCATTTTCCCTTATTGCATTCTCCTGTTTTAGGGGATAAGTTGCCAGCGAATTATTGCCAAAATGTCCAATAATACTAGTTCTTCGCTGCAAATATCGGTTTTCAATGTTACAATACCCGTGATTTTACCTGTCACAAAAACGGAAATGATTGTCTGGTTAACCATGCAAATTACTATAGCGCTGACTGGTGCCCTTTTAATCATTTTCTATTTATTCGCCATGCACCGACTACGGAAGTTGACTACCGGTTCCGGACTGCTCGTAGCTCACGCTCTTATCATAGACCTCATTTTTTGTCTGGGGGGCGTGCCCGTAATTGCTATTCCTGTTTATTTGACACAGATGCAGGTACACTTCGAGTACAGTTGTATGCCGGTAGATTTCTTCCTGTTGTTTATCATGATCGCCGGCAACTGGACAGCGGTTGTGTTGTCAATTAACCGGTGGTTAGCCGTGGTGACACCGCATCATTATGCGCGGATAGCTACGCGGCGTATGTCGTTCCTCACCCTGCTCTTCGTTTGGAGTGTGGCACTGGGTTGTAGTATTCCCTTTTTGAACACAATTCCTGGTATGGTGCACGGTATACTGCCGTCCGGTATTTGTGGTCTGATTCGGCAGTCGGGCCCGACCACCATGATTTTGGTAGTGTTTGGAACATATTTACCTCTGGTGTTGATGGCCATTGTCTACAGTAGCCTTTTTATTTATACAAGAATGCAGAATAAATTTAATAAAATCGAGAACCAGGCTAATGAAGAGCGTCCATTCCGTGCATTTGAGAGACGTTTGAGGATTGCTAAGGCGTTGTGTTTATCGTTTATCTGGTACTGCCTGTGTATACTTCCGCCACCAATTTTAACGGTATTTTTTGCCTCTTGGTGGGTGAAAGACATCAGGATGACGCTATACACGAAGACGGCGCAAGTGCTGGCCTATGCGGCAAGTCCTGTAAGTTAATACCGGGTACTCAAAGGACATTCGCACTTTACTGGATTGGTTTAATTTACACGCCGGTTCGGTTTAACGAAGTACGGATTAACGGTCCTTTCAGGTATTTTTCTTTGCCGTGGGAACAGAGTACAGAGCCGTGGTGAAAAAGGGCGCGAGAGATTTTCTACGCTCTGTACGCAACGTGTCATCCATTCATCCAAGCATCCAGGGCAGCGCCTCCGCATAAATTCTACAAGCTGATTCCGGTTCCTTTCTTGCCGTGCATCGTAGCCGAAACAGCGCGCATTGTTTTAAATTCTCGTATTCTGTTTCAATTAATTTCCATTAATCAGCCCAGGTGTTAGCTGCAGGGATTGGTAGCGTTATTTACTAGTTTATTTAAGGCAAAACGCAGGTAGCGGGTATAAAGATGACAACGGTCACATTGATACTTCGTTTACTGCTTCTTAGTTGTGAAGCTTCTTGTAAGCTTCGAGTGCGTAATTTATTTGTGATGCTTTTACTAGAGTCGTAGAAATGGCCAGAGATTTACAGTATATAGATCTCTACTGTTTTGTCCGAGTATTTATGCCGCTTTAGAATGTTTTTTTCGTGATAATTTAACTGGTACAGGAAATACTTAAATGACAATTAACGAGTTAATTGATGTTAATGTTAGCTGGAGGACATGCGCTCCCGCTCTTTCTCCTTTCCCCTTGTGTAGCAAGTTACGTGAGTCTGTTGGTGGCGCTGCGCGCCGCCGTGGCGCTTAGATCAAAGCGGCCGCCGTCATGCACGGGCATGCTGTTTGCGCTTGACACTGTTCGTGTGCAACCATGGTTGCATTTCTACATTGCTGTCTGTGTCTGCTCCTTCGAGATCGTGTGCGCGCGAGTGATCTCTGTTCTTTACCACCCGCCACACCCATCTGTTCCTCTTCTGCTGTTATTTCGCACTTGCTCAATAAAGGGGCCTTCGGTTGCGCAGGGCACTGGTCGCTCTCTTCCGCCGACCCCGGTCGGCCGGCTTTTCGCTGACCCACGGTCACCGCACACAGCCGATCACCGAGAGCACCAGCCTCCCAGCAGCCGGGGCTCCAGTGCCCCCTGTGGAGTCCGGAAGCGGTAACATTAACTTTAAAACTTTGAATAACGCTGCTGGTGTTATCATCACGCTTGCCTTATTCGCAATCGTTTTTAACGACATTTTGTCGGAAAGCACAAATGCATAGCTGGAAAACAACAGTGCACAGTATTACAATTTAACCCATCAAAGTCAGCTACCAGAAGGAGTGCGAATATCAACTTGAAAACTGGCACTTCTGAACCAAATAATTTAATCAAGAAAAAGTGATTTTTTGAGAATTTTTGTGACCATAGGTCAAGCAGGGCGATAGCCTGCCAAACTGACAGGGATGGGCATCCTGCCATTTGGCAGGTAACACGGGGAAATTATTAAATAATTATGGGAGGGTCGCACTGGCGCAGGCAAACACCTCAACGAGAGGCCTCGAAAACTCTTCAATTCCCAAACAGTGTTATGGTCATCGAGTTGACCAGTGGTCACTAGTAATAAAAATTGTTAAAAACTGCATTTTTGGGCCTCCACATATTAAAACAGATGCAGTGTCCACGCTTTTCCATAAAATAAACGATATAAAACGATCCTCAGTTAGATAAAAACAACAAATGCGTCCTTACAAGCGCATATGCGGTGTTTGTCGCTTATGCCCGCGTTATACTGCATGTAGACCAATCTTCGTTGTTGCCGCTTACTGTTTTTTGCCGATTGTTGGTAAGTTTTTAGTGAATAGAGGTTATAGAGGGTACTCTACAAATTGTCTCCACCATCACTAAGCAGTTCATAAGCCGGTAGCCACAGCGACAACTATCCGCACCGCATCACCTACGTCCTACAGTATACGGTGTATGCCGCACCGGGACTGAAAATCTATACCCGCATGGTCATTTTCGCAGTTATCCGTTATAGCTCGGTAACTCAATGAAGCCTATTCGTGACGGAATGCAGAAATGCTGTACAGTTTCAAAATTGGCTAGGTATCTGAACAACATCCATGAAATACGTTTACATCAGTTCAAATCTTATCATTTCCTCTAACCCTGGACTACGCATAGTGTGTTTTATATTCGTTTCTCGAACCTGAATCTGAATTTTAACATTGCACTCTGCAAAAGCTTTGGTGCCAACAAGCGGAAACACTTTTCGGTCCATAATTCGCGTTAGTTCTGGTTTTTTGCACTTTATTCGTAAATAATCTTTCAAATTTTCCCCCAAAAAAGCGATTTTTGAAAATTTTCGTGCTTACTGGCCACAGGTCATTTCTATGACCATCGAAATAACAGTATTTGTAGCACCAGTTTTGCTCGATTTTTTGGTTCCATGCGTGGCTTTCCACTAAACTTTTGAAATTTTCTATCGAATTTATAATTTTATTGTTAAAGTTGCACCATGCCCATCCCTGTCAAACTTGGCAGGAAATTTTAGAATGACTATGCTTGTCCGCTGTCCAGTTATTTTTCGTGTCATTTAATGATTTCGCAATAAGGGCCGCTAGATTGGCCTGAATAATTTATCTTGGAATTACCTAATGCGGGGAGGCTCCAGGGACAACCAAGACCTTCGCGAACCCAAAATTCGGATTTTGGTCACCTTTGGTCACTTGGTGCATGCCCAGGCCACATTGTATTTGACAGTCCGATTTTTTAAAATGACGCTTAACATCTCTACTGTGAAATAATACTAAAGAATTTGAGCTAGCTGGGTTACGGGCTCTTGAAGAAAAAGAGTTCCCCACCCTGCCATTTGACAGGGATGGACGGGAACGGGTTAAGGATGCGAAATGCAAGTCGCCTCGTAAACAGATCGTCGGTGACATTTGACGACATTATCGAGCATTTCCACACGACCACATCCAATGGCTACGTGCCGCATCAATTGGTCAGTGCAACTGAATTATCCACGCTGGACTTGTTCCACTTGGCAACTCACGTCTGCTGAGTTGCAAAAGATGCAAGGTTCCATACAGATATATATAAGGAATATAAGGAACGTTCCAGCTCTATATCGATGTTGCATGAAGCTGTTACGTGTTATACAAACTGTTTTGCCACAGTATTCTGCTGGCATTTTCAGCGGTTGAATATTTGCCTTAAAATGGCTCTTCTCGCCCTCCGTATGTTTCTCTGTCTGTTGTTTGTTTTTTCGTCCGCAAGTGCTTGGCTGGGAATTAATCCCCAAAGAAACGATGGACAAATCGATGAGTCTAATAACCAGCTCGCTACACCAAGACCGGTAACAAGATAAATACATCTTGTATGTATTTACCATAGCATACCAGTTTTTGTTTAACTTTTACCTAATTTTGAAAATTGTAATTATTTAAAGTTCCCTGTAAATCTCAGTTCTGGTCAAGATTTGAATTTGCTGTCAATAACTGACCTTTCAGGTGGCACAGAAACTGAACATTCTGACAATGCCGGATCGTATGCTGGCCATGAAAGCGTACCTGGATACAGCCAACTTGCCGCAAACACCTTATCAACGCAAAATTAACTTGGCTTTCTTACAAGCCATGGCCAAAATGCTGGGTAGGTCTATATTGTTTTGCCTGTGTTTTTTATCAAAACATAATTTCGTATTTTATTGAGTAGAGTCCCGGGGTTACTACGTTTGCATAAGCCCTCCGGGTGGGGACTCTATTTATTTTTCAAAGACCCTTGTGAAAACGCGGTTTTCAAAGGGAGGGGACTCTATTTTCGGGAGACACTTATTGATAAAATACGGTAATTATTAATATAGTTCTTTCGAGTGTAAAACGAAACCTCCATGACATTCTGTTTGTAGGCAAAACCCAAATTGTGGAAGTGGATTCTGACGACATTGGTTCGTGGTCGAGTTCCAATGCATAGAAGCACTATGCAGACCGTTCCGGCATTGCATCACCCTGTCGCAAATCAAATAATGGGCACTGGAACTATCGGTTCATGTTCCCTGTTCAGAATTTAAATGTTTGCCGTGTGTCGGCAGGCTCATGCAATATTATACCGGTATGTTAATAATTATGTGCATCAGGTCATTCACGTTGTACCTGTCTGCTTAATATGACGCTTTCGAGACAACGCGGCCGGCACAAAGAAGATATCAACATGTACTCTGTATAATAGTAGCGCTCGTATATCGTACAATGTCGCTGATTTTGCTTGCAGCAATCGGGGTTTGTGTACAGTACATTTTTTTGAGTAGCAGTTTGTACAATATCTGTACTCTTGTTGGCTGTTTACTGTACGACTAATAATTTATTATTACTGAATACTAGTTGATTACTTTATGCCGGCCATAAGCGCGCATGACGGAGTTACTAGCGTGCATCTCTCAAATGCAAACCGTTGTTGTGTTTTAGTCTTGCTGCATTTTCATTCGCAAACGTTTAGGTAATTTGTTGGAACAAATTTTATTAATAAGCTTTGGTGGTTTGCTGAGCAAGCACGTGCTGTATGTACTATGTATCACGTAGCAATTTTATGGTATTAAAGCATGCATTCTAATTAGATGTCCCAATTTTTAGAAACTAGTTTTGCTTAATAAGACTGAAATTGGGTTAAGGAGAACGATTTCCTATTACATATTTAAGATTTGCGATAGGGTAATTTTCGCATACTGCTTGACATAAAAGCCGTTCATCTGTAGGACATTGACAACGCACCGTATACCTTTCATTAAGAATTATGTTTTATCGCTTATGGTAGTGCATCCAAATTATACTTGATAAGTATGTAACACGTATCAGTGCGCGGCATCAAATTTGCAACCGGTCCAACTTACAGGTAAAATTTGAAGTGTGAGCTGCAGTATGTACTGTACAATAACTACTGTATGGTTGTATGCTAACGCTGCAGTAGCATAAATTGTATGTAGTTAACAAACATATGCACTTCATGAGGTGTAGCAACGCATGCTCCTGTAGGTAGCAGAGTACTCGTTGAGAAAGAAACAATAGAAGCACGTACACGCAAACTACAAGCCGGCACCGGAAATTCTACCTATGGTCAGTGTAAGTACAAAGCATTATACCAGCCACTTGATAACCACGTTGAGCTTCTCGACATCTTCTTGCTAACAGGGCAGATAAGTGCCGCAAGAGTTGCTGACGTTTCTTTTTCAGCTCAGCATCAACGCTTATACCATAATGCATACTGGCCGCAAAAAAAACCATATTGAGAAACCCATGCGGTCGTATTCTTCTTTCCATTTATTCAGACGAAACATTTGGCTGGTGCCGCATAGTTTCTTGGCCTAATTTTTAAACGTGCCAAAGATTCATTTTATACGACGTTAAAATTGTTAATTATATCACAGAAATTCATGGCGCTAAATTTTAAGCGCCGGAAAATAAAGTTAATTTAATTGTTATTATTATGATGATTGCGCGGCGTTTTTTCTTTAGCAGCCAGCGATGGATATTATTATTAAGTTTTTGCGTTTTATTTCTTTTGGGATCAATAGCGTTTATGCAAATCCATCAGACCCGACTTGCAACCGGAAATGAAGTGTATTACGATGCGCGGAAGGTTGTTGAAGAAATACACCGGAAAGAGGACTATCGTGAAGAAGTGGGAGACAATAAAAGTGGAAGAGATGCTCACGTAACCAACAATGTGGTGGCTATACCGCCCCCGGAGGGCACCTGTCCCGTAGCGGAAGGCAATCCGGTGAAAGCCAATTACGATGTTAATGAAATGTCGACGTCGTTAAAGCTCAACGAATTGCAATGGGATGGGGATGTTGGAATATGGGATGCTGAAGTGGAGAAAAAATTCCAGCTGGTAATTCCCACAAACATATGAGCAGTATCTAATTTGCTGAATTACCAGAAATATGATGATCGATTAATTTATTTCATCGAAAAAATTTCTATAAAGGTTTTGAGAATTTTACTGCCGTACACTAAAGAGAAAATTACTAACATTTATATAAACGTTTCGTAGTTTATAAAAAATACCGGCAGAAATACACTTTTGACACATGTTTCGCAAAGTATTAACAATTTTCTGTAATATTGGTTAACATGCGCACGAAGTAAAACTTAATGTAAAACGGTTACAAGGGGCAATATTTTTCTTCTTTAATCAATACTTTATTAACTCGATTACTCACATTTGTGCCACTTAAGAAAACGTTCTTTTTTCAAGATTTAATGGTGCGAAGCATAGTTTTACCTGTGACATCGTGTGGACATAATGCCATATGGGTTGGCTGTTAGCAAATATTTGAATACCTTTAAAGGACAAACATTTTACAAACTGGTTATTTCTCACAATTATAATAGCATTTTCTGTTGCTGTCTACCAGCTGGCCACCGTTGTGTACTTGATATGCGTGAAGTGGCGCCATGTGCCGCTTTCTATTATAAAAAATACATATGTATTTTAACCTAAAACGTGGCATAAGAAGATTTATTTCTGTCGTATAAGAGATCGATTGGCAAAATTTTTACATCTCCATTACAGCCAACTTGACCTATCAAAAATTAGCTGAAAACTTGAAGCTTTTGTTGTTTATTCGAAAATCGCTAGTTGGAAAGTAATGCTTTTGCTGTAAATAAAAATTTTCTAATGTATTCGAAAAACAACTGAGAACAATGGAGTTTAAAAAAAGGATAATTTTACCATCAGATCGACGCGCGTCGGTCTGCATTTTTTTTATTTTGATTAGCCCGATTTACTGACAATAGAAAAATTTCAAGTTCGCTGCTCTTGACAAAGTTTTCTTTACAGGATTACAGCAACACTGCAGAGCACAACCGATCTTTACAAGTGTTTCTTGTACCTTTCTCGCATGCTGATCCAGGATGGTAAGCTAAACAACCACTCTTTAATTTTACTCGTACTATCGTACTCGTATAGTGCTAAGCGAATTTGCATCTGTTCTTACAGTGTACCGTATGAACAAAAAAAACGAAGCATCCAGCCTATTTCACAGAGATACATTAAATTATTTATTAATTAAACTGAGTACATTAAATCAATTTCAATAAATTTACAGTTGCCCAAAATTAGAACTCTATACAGCTCTTCTTTGGACAGCTCTCAATTTGTTGAAGTTGTTTGTTGTAAATTTATTGAATTTGTAAATGTTATCGCGTAAACACTATAATATGCGACAGGTTACAAACCGTGGATGGATATATGGATATTTACACAAAACATACATTAAATTTAATGGTCGAGCGTTTGACCTTGTGGAAAGATATGACATTCGTCTGGGCGGAAATCAGCTTCTTCGAAATGTGGTGGAATTTAATTAACGAAACAACCAGGGAACAAGTCCGTACACTGGTCAAGGAAGGCCGACTGGAATTCATCAACGGCGGCTATGTCATGCCGGACGAGGCAACTTGCCATTACTACGCTATTATCCATCAATACGTTTACGGTATGGTGAATACTGCAAGCAGTTTGATTTTGCCATATAATTGTTATGGAATAATTTTTATTCTGTATTTGCATACATGATACATTTGTTTTATTCTGTTTTTGCATTTACCGTATAAACGCATAATTCTAGGTGAAATACCGGGTTTCTCGATATTTTTGACATTCAAAAGTAATGGAAGGGTACTACTAGTCAAAATCAATCCTAATAATATATGCCGAAAGTGAATAGAATTTAATGTGCTCTCATCTTATGGCAGTTAGTGTAGTATGTAAATATTTAACTACAACGCACCGTTTTCGATGCGTGTTTGCAGCTTTTGGGAGGGTTTGCTTCTAAAAATATGCAGAAATAGTAACTAATGTGGTCTGCCGACTCTGCCCAAAATATTTATTATTATAAAAAACGTCAATGTTTATGAGCGCAGCTCCGAATTCTATGCACAATTTATCACAGTAATAATGTGGATACTGTTACTCGTAAAATGCGGCATGTTTGTATTTGTGGCTTTTGGGCGACGCCGTAAATTTATTGCGACCTTGATATCTGTAAACATTGAAGAGTTGTATACTTCGGCAAATTCCTTTATTATTATATACGCGATATTCATTAAAATGTAACGCAGCCTGTAAAATTTCTCGCATGAGCGCCGTAAAAACAGCCTATAACACAGAAAAATGTATTATTGCTGATATTTCCGGCAGGTCATCAGTGGCTCCATCGTACCTTCAACATAACCGCTAAACATGGCTTCAGCATCGATCCTTTTGGTTACTCCTCCACTATGCCGTACATCTTGAAGAATCTCGGCTTCGACTCCATGTACATTAAACGGATTCACTATATCATCCGCAAGCGCCTCGTTCTCAATGGCGCATCGCAATTCCTGTGGCAGCAGCCTTGGGATAAAGCCAACACCGACTCCATGTTTTGCTACATGAGCCACGCCACGCTGTACGATGTGAAACACACTTGCGGTGTTGACCCGCAAGTGTGCGTACAGTTCGACTACCAATATCTAACGGTACATTTCACGGCATCGTTATAAAAAATTAATAACTAAAAATAAAATATTTGAACGAGATAATTGTAGCAATATTAACAAAAACAATAAATACATTGAAAAAAATTGTAAAATAGAAAGAAACTGAAATATAAATCGAAATAAAAAAATATAACTATTACATAAAAATAAAAATAATTTTATACCACTGCTTTAGCGATTAAATGTAACTACTGTATCAAAAATTTCGGCTTTGTGCGTTATAAAGGATTCTCTTTCATTAAAACAAGCATCTTATTTTTCCAGGAGTATGGACAAAAGTATTACTGCTTGCTCTTCATGGCTTTGTACGATTAAATATTTTGTACTTCAGAGTATATTGTTTTATTTTTTAATTACAGCAAATGAATGAAGAGCAATACCGAACCTTAAGCCTGCAACTGATTGATCAGTTTCGCAAAGTGGCTTATTTGTACCCACACAATATCCTGCTCATTCCGCTGGGTATGGACTTCCGGTGGAGTAACACGTTCGAGTGGGATTCCAAATACGGGAATTTCAAGAAAATGGCCGACTATCTCAACAGTGATCCGAAATTTCGGGTGCACATTCAGTTCGGCACCTTCAAAAACTATTACGATGCGGTATTTAAAGCCATGGGCAAACCGGGAAAAGAGTGGAAGACCCCGGTATTAAAAGGCGATTTCTTCCCGTATGCGGATCGGTACATGGAGTACTGGACTGGCTACTTCACGTCGCATCCGTATCAGAAATCGCTGAGTCGGATGCTGGAGCAGCAACTGCGGACGGCGGAGATTTTATACAGTATTGCCATGTTGCGCAACTGGAGACTTGATGATGCGATGCTTATTAAATATCTCCAAGCAGCCACGAAGAATTTGGGCTTATATCAGCATCACGATGCCATAACCGGTAAGCCCATAACTATGCAAGCGGCACTAAAATTGTTACTGTAAAAAAAGACCGAATCATGTCTAACTAGCAAACAGTATTTGACTTTGATGATACGATAATAATTTACTCTGAGCATGTAATTTTAAATGATAAAAGCTAAAAATAAATCTCTAATTATCTATACACGTGGCAGTTTTCTTCCCTATTTTCTTAAAAACGTCTTCCATATTACCATTCTTAATTTAATTTTCAGGGACATCGAAACAAGCTGTTTCCGATGATTATGAGCTGCGTTTATTGGACGGCTTGGGCATGACGGACACAGCTATAACGTACATGGCATCGGCTCTTTTCTGGCCCGAAGATGTCCTCCATGAATCCTTTGAATCCCATGCGATCATTGAAAAGAATCGCGATCTCCCGGCCAAGCAACTCATTAGACTATTAGACCAAACAAAGCGCTACTTGGTCATTTTCAATCCGCTTGCATTCTCTCGACAGCTTGCCGTAGATTTATACGTCGACACCGAAGATGTAATTATCGAAAACTTGACAGGGAAGTTCATCGAGTATCAAGTCAGCCCCATGCTCGATCCCCAAAGCAGCAATGGGAAGCTTTTAGAGATCGGATTCCGCTTGACCTTTGTGGCGAAATTCGAAGCCATTGGCTTTCAGACTTTCATCATCCGCGCAGCAAATGAGACCACTGTGCAATCCTTTCTAGCCAAGCATACAACAACTGTAACGGAAAAGGTCACGGATTTTTCAAAAAATATCATTTTGTCCAATGAATTAATTTCTGCGGAATTTTCTCCCGCGAACGGTTTATTGGAAACCATAACTGACCTTTCCACCGGCATCCGACGGGCAGTTAGGATGGAATTTAAACGCTATGAGACGACACAGAGTGGAGCGTACGTGTTTATTCCCAACGGAATCGCCGATTTACTACCTTATCCGCATTCCGTGCGACTGTTTGAAGGCGCCATTTATTCGGAAATCCACATAACGTTAGCCGGTGTATTATGCCAAGTTGTGCGAGTGTATCATGTGAATCAGGATCTCGGAAAATATTTGGACGTTAATATGGTGGATAATTTGGCGGCACATCGTAACCTTGAAGCTGTGATACGGTTCACTACGGATCTGCACAATAATCTAACGTTCTTTACCGACGCCAACGGATTCCAGATGGTCAAACGAAGGGCCTCCCATGATTTGCCCATGCAAGCCAATTACTACCCGGCCACCAATATGGCTTTCATGCAGGATGACAAAAGCCGGTTGACGATTCATATGGCGCGGGCGCACGGTGTCGGCAGCCAGGATGTCGGGCAAATGGAAGTCATGTTCGATCGAATCTTGAGTAAGTCTGTAATTAACATTATTGCCCATAGACGGTATAGTTAAGTAAAACGCAAACAAGAAAAACTAAATACACAACAGATTGAGTTTGGTATGCTGAATATGTTCGTAAAATTATAACCTTTTTAAGGTCAAGATGATGCACGTGGCGTGGAAGAAGCACTGACCGATTTCCGTTCGGTCCACACCCACTTCCGTATCCAGTTAGAGACAACCGGCTTCTGTCGTACATGCACGTCGACTGCAGCTGATCCAACCGCGCTGGCCAATCGGCTCAATCTCGACTTGAACAATGTGCCAACGGTTTTAACGGCCAACTTCCGTGATAACGAAAAGCATTATGGATCAGCGTTAACCAAATTGTCTGGTGCACTTCCGTGTAGCACCCACCTGGTTCTGATGAAGCCGCTGTATGATCGTAAACGATTATTCGGAGCCGTACTGCACAAGCTGGGAGCTGATTGTGATAGTGACAATGGCAGTGATCAAGGAGAATGTGCCAAGGAGGGCGCCGTGCATTTGAACAAGTTTCTGCATCCGAAAATAAAAACGTACATCAAGAGTACGTTAAATTTTGTTACTCCGCTGGGGAATGCTAGTCAAAACGCTGTTGTGGATTTGGAACGGAAGAAATTAACGGCTGTACTTTTTACTAATGCGGCGAGCCGATCGGCTGAATCTGTTTTATAAATAAGAAATTCAGGAAAAGCATCTCCAAATAAAGGTCTCTTAAATTCGGAGTAAAATTCCTGGATGTAAATTCCTGTCCATGAACTTTCCCTTCGGAATTTTGCACACGAAATAAAACACGGGCAAAAGTGACACTCATTATCAAGTGGTAACTGTAGACGTCAAGAAGAATTATAAGACATCGATTTTTAAAAAAAAGCCGCTACATTCAAAAGATCCCGTCATAAAAATCGCATGACTATTACAGTCATATCTGTACTCATACTGTACAGGGAAAAGTGCGCAACTTCTACGAGAAGGCAGCTACTCCATCTGGTTTGCAGCTGATTTCAGCTTGCTCGCTGTTACATATTGACTTTTTGTTGTCAATCTGGCACATTTCTGATTTCAACCATGTAAGTAGGTTTAGTATTTTTAGCTTTGTACTGTACTTCGCATTGTCTTTTCAAGATGACTTAAGGCCTATTTATACTTCACTTCAGTCACGTTTTTCTTTACGTCCGTCAGAAATGCATTTTATGTACGTCCTAATGAACGTACGAAAGAAAACACGGACATAACATATAACGGTGCTAAGATCCGGCTTATGTCACGGGCATTCAAGAAGCGGCTTTCTGGTTAGAGCGATCGTCTTGAGCCAATCCAACCTAGACCAACCATCTTAAGTCTCATTAATAATTCGTGCTAGTCTGTCAGATATTTTTTTGGGTTTACCTTGAAGTTGTGATTGTCTGCTCTGGCACGACTGCATCACTACGAGCACTGAGTGACTGTTTGTACTGACTTTGTTTTAGCAGATTTTCAACATTAGTGAGCTGCTACCGGTAGTACTGTGTTTGGTTTACTTTACGATAGCCTTGGTAGGTGTTACATATTCTCCAGTATCTTCGCAGTACAGTACTATGAGCGGAACACCGCGGTTCTTTCGTGAACTGTGGTCGGGTGCGCGCGACACCAATTATGGGAACACGGTACTGGTGCGGCGGGACAGCGGCCAGTGGTGGTTGGGATACGTACAGGACATCAAAGAGCAAGACTTCCTCGTCGACTTTGATGCCAGCACAGGGACGGCCGAATGGATCCATTCCAGCCGTCTCTGGCCGCACCACTACCTGTTCAACGTTTTGGAACCGTATGTGGAACAACCCTCTCTCCGCTCCATGCACGTGGCGCTGCGGGATGGCCAGGGTGGACCGATGGTGTTTCATTCCGCTACGGTCGTTGCGGAATGGTTTTTCATGTTCCTGGCTGTGCGTCTGGACGAAAACGAGGCAGCGGACTGTTTCTTTGTTCATCGTGGTCATTGCGCAGCACGCCTGCCAGTGCCCGGTGATGGGCAGAGTTTTTTTGCACGCACTGATGGTTTAAACTACGTTAAGCACGTCATCAACTTCCCTACAGCTGGTCAGCTTCACCATGTCGATTGGCTGCCTGCGTTTGTGGACCGGGCATGCAGTATCACCTTGGGGGATGGTGATTATTTGGATGGATATCTGTTTGCGAAGACTGTTCGCGAAGGGCCCACGCGTTTTTACTCGGTCGGACCACCCGAAGATGAAGAACGGAACGCACATGAAGGGGTGCACGTTGGTGTTCGGGTGTTTGTGCGCGCGGGAATCGACACTGTGACGTTTATTTGTCTAGAGGTCCACAATGATGCAGCGGGACGCAGGATGTCGTGGGATGAGAATGTTCTCAGGGAGGCGTGCAACAAGTGTCTTGGGAGGCATCCATCGGCAATCACCGACGGATTTCCCGGGGCGTTGGAATACGGTCAGTGCCTGCTGGGCCGAGTTGTTATAATTTGTGTAAATCCTAACACTGATAGTACATCAGCAAGGTATCAAATACTTCAAGTATGTGTACTTATTTCAACATTCGCACGTATTACCTTCTATAAACGTGTGAATCGTAAAAATGTTTTCAAAGGTCCCAGCGTTGTCAAATTGAACGAGTGCTGTCCTTGCAAATTCAATTTACATGTGAATTGTAGCAAATTCCTGTAGTAGTGTATCGATAGAAGTGTTTATACGTTTACGTTGTTTTATGTGTTCCCTTTCGATGTAACAATTTTTTAAAGCTTTGTACGGTGAATACTCTGCTGCATTCGTGGAAGAAATGGTTATAAACGAGCTTGCGCTTCCGATCCTGACGCATATTTTAACTAACACGGATGTAGTTACCCAGCTACAATTATCCAGGTAAGTTCATATTAGTCGTTTTCTTAACATTTTCCTAACTTCAGAAGGGTGTTGCAGATTATGGAAAAAATAATAAAAACAGAAACTGCATGAAAAATAATAAAAACAGAAACTGAAAAATAATAAAAACAGAAACAGCGACGTTAGCGATGGCTATTTTGTTTTTGTGTTTTAACCAGAGTCTGTGCATTGTGGATGCAGATTGTGCGGGAAAAGTCGGACAAGCGTTTTCTCATTCTGGACATCGTCCAGATGTTACCGAAAAAGCCATACGTTCATGAATCTTCCATTGAGTCCGATTACCGGAAATACGTACTTATGACCACGCTAGATCGCGTTATCACGAAGGACATTACGACGCTGATACTGATGGACAACTCCCAGGCGATTACCGACATAGCGGACGAATACTTCGTCAACAGACGTTTTGCATACTGTCATTATCCATCTGTCATCGGTCTCAGACGAGAAATGGAAGCGATCCAAGCTGTGTTAACAGTAGTACGTATGTCCATCCTACACGTACTTTGCGCATGTGCATTTGCATTTGCACGGATGCGCAAGTGTATATGAGCATTTGCACACATGCGCATATGTATAAGTGCATTTGCAATTGCACACATGCGCACAAGTATACGATACACCTGTGCATGTGCATCTGCACGGATATATGCATAACTGGTAATAATTTTGTAAATTTGATTTGTATGCTGACCACAACACAGTATGTCGTGATTGAATGTACCATGTACCATGGTACATGGCCTAGGTACATGGTACAGGTACCGTTACCATGGTAACGCGTACCTGGTGCCAAGTACCAGTCGCATAATAACAGATATGCATTGGCCTATGAAAATCTAGTTGGTAGTTACAAACATGTGTGCATTCTATCTGAAAGTTACGGAAGAAAACTGTTTTCGGCCATTGTATACTATCCAATCTTTTTTTGAACCATTGCAACTGCTACTGATTTGTTTACCGGGTGTTGATATGATATTGTTGTACTATTCCATGGATTAACCAGGATTGATAGCCAATTACTTTCAAGCTCTGACGGAATAACGGGTAAGGGGAAAGAAGTAAATGTTTGTTTGGTTTACTTTCGTTTCACCCTGAATTCCGATCTTGCGTCAGATTTCGTTCTGTTTGTGTGGATATTTAATTGCATTATTTAAAGCTTTATTGCATTTGATTTACCAGCTTTACTTAATATATGTCGTCATAAACAACTCCGTTTATCATGGCATCATTTTGTAAATAAAAAACCACAATATCAAACAATGTTTCGTCGGTACATGTGACAAAAGAAATTGCAAACACTACAATTCCAGTTTCTGGATACAAAACGTTTTAATGTGTGAAAACCAGGCTCTGTAAAGTTTGGATTCCAAAACGCCCAGGGTGCCATTGCTATCAAAGGCCAGCAGTGCTTCCCACTATTTGCAAGTATTTAAGCACCGTAGATCCACCCTTTTTCGTCGAAGAACTCCCGAAATACGGAATGGTCGTTATTGCGGACATCGGGTACCCTCCACATGGTATTCCGGGATCTGCGGTCTGAACAAAGGACTTAGGGTTACATTCTTTATCGGGCATCTCGTTTATCTTTATTGCCTCACCTTGGTCGAAGAGACGGAACGCAGGATGTGAGTTATAGCGTCATATTACGTAATGTCTGATTCCAGGAATCACTTTGTAGGACTTTTCCTATTCCTTCCGTAATGATTATAGCAGCGAATACTATAAAAAATAACACGTACAGAATCACTAACAAAACTTTTTCGCATTTCTTCTGGACGCCAACAGCGTCCGGAAGCATATGCTGTAGCCCAGCCATGTTATGCACCTTGTGTTGTGTTTGCAGGGCTTAAATAGACTCGTTATTGTTTTTGTGCAGACATGAACATGAACAAAAGAGCGCTGAAAAGGTGTCACCTTTTCTGCTGGCTGAAGCAAGGAATACCAATCGAGAAACCATGCGCGGAGCGGTGGATAGCTTCTAATTTCAACATCAGATTACTTAATTTGCTGAATTCGCCATTTAAGCACGTAGAACAATACTGAAAACATTATTTTCAAAAATGTATAGTACTGTTAAAGAATATCCGCGCCTCAGTGCGCCCTTTGGGATGTGTGTTTGTGGACCGACCATGCCGGGTAAATCAGAGTTTGTTTTCTCATTAATTGAGCAACGGAACCGCATGATTGATAAACCACCAACAAAAATTATCTATTGTTACGGTGCTTGGCAAAGTGGATTCGAAAAGCTACTATCTGCAAACCCTTTTATAGAATTTATTAAAGGATTGGACGAATTCTTTGCCTGTTCCGAGTCACTAGATGAAAAGGTGCCTACATTAGTTGTTATTGACGACTTGGCGACTGATCTCTGCAAAGACGTGCGGTGTGCCAATCTTTTTACACGCGGAATCCATCACAAAAATGTTTCAGTTATCGTGCTTCTACAAAATCTATTTAAGCAAGGCAAGGTCATGCGGGACATCACCCTCAATCTACAGTATCTAGTCCTTTTCAAAAACGTGAGAGATGTAAATCAAATAGCATTATTGGCCAGACAGACCGGACTGAAGCAACTGGTTACTGCTTATAGTAAGGTCACTGCACTACCGTACCAACCTTTAATTTTGGACTTGCGACCAACGTGCCCAGAATACTTACGTATTCGCTCCCATATCTTTCCCAACGAGCACATGAGGATTTATTTGGATCGAAATTCGTCACAACTGCCAAAATGTCGGAACGCGTAAAATCGTTAGCACCCTTTATCATCACCCTACAGAATTTAAAGCCGCGACAACGACGCGTTCTGATGAGTTACATGAGTAAACCGCAGATGAAAGCTTTGGAAGAAATCGCCGTCAACATTGTAAAAAATACTGTCGCATTGACACCATCCCAAATGGATAAATGTAAACGCCATCGCAAAGCATTAAAGCTCATTGCACTGCGACGCTATCCTCTCAAACAAAAGCGAATAATCTTACAACAAGGAGGATTTATTGGGGCTATCTTACCGGTTATTGCTGGGGTCCTAACATCGTTGATTGGAAATGGATGAGTACTATATTGTTCCTAGACGCATTATGGAAGAGCGCCTGCATGAGAAAATACAAGTTAACAAAGAACCTCCGGAAGCCAGAGCTGTTGTTTCTTTGGACGAACTTGTTGCCAAAACCTTAAGACGAACCGATATAAACGAGTATGAGAAAGCCGACCTGCTAACAAGCATTTTGGAGCGTTTCTTAGCATTGAAACAAAAGTCTTACCTGACGAAAACCCTGTGCAATTCTCCGATGAAACCGTGTTGCAACCGGCACCATTAGGAGTACAACAAGAGCTGGAAAAGTTTCGCAAACGCAAAAGAACTGACGAAGATGAAATAGAACAAGTGCCAAAGCAACCGCGCCCACAATTATTTCCATCGACGTTGCCAACCAAAGGGCAAAAAAGGTATCTGGAAGACGATCGAGATGGTCCAATAAAACATGGTCGTGTCGCCTTGTTTCCACCAACACTGCCAGCAAAAGGACGAAAGCGTAAAACCGCGGACGATCATCCAAATAGCCGTAAACAACGCCGGGTACCCTTGTTTCCATTATCCATTGGAAAAAGGAAAACGGAAAGTGCCAACGAAGATACCGGTCGGAAACTGCGTTCCCGAACTGTTCAAAGTGGTAGTGGTCAACATAGGATTCAGTGGATAACCTTACCATAATGTCCAGCTTTCTTCCTACTGTTTTGCGACCGTGTCGGATATTTAAGATCAATTGCGTATCCAGTTGTTGCAATAATGGAGAAACTGATGAAAAAATATCTGAACCCTCGCGATCCCGGAAGTCTTGGCGGCGTCGACAGGTTCCGAAAAAGTTTAAAGACCAGAGCCGACAAACGGAAAGCACAGGCGATCTTGCAGGAGATCGATGCCTACACTGTCAACAAAGAATCACGCAAACGCTTCCCGCGCAACCGCATAATAACAACTAACCTCCGCCAACAGTATCAAGCGGATCTGGCCGATCTAGCCAAATATTGGAAGGAAAACAATGGATACAAATATTTGCTGTTTGTTATTGATTGTTTCTCCAAGAAACTCAGTCAGTATTCATCCTCTGAAAACCAAAACGGGTGCTGATACCAAGGAAGCGCTTACCAATGCGTCCAATGATTTGGGAGAGCCGGAAAAACTGCAATATGATAAAGGGACTGAGATGTTGAATAGAACGGTGGCCAAGTACTTGAAAGACAAACAAATTCAGTTCTTCACTTCCGAGAACGAAGACATCAAGTGTTCCATGGCGGAGCGCGTTATTCGAACCATCAAAACGCGGATATTTCGATTGTTTCGGTCCCGCTTATCGACGCGCTATATTGACAAATTGCAAGACCTGGTGTACTCGTACAACCATTCCAAACACCGTGCGCATGGTATGCGACCCAGTGATGTACGGCAAGACAATTCGTTGGCAGTGTACAATGCTTTGTACAAGCACAAAGACGTCAAGAAGCCACGGTACAAAGTCGGTGATGCCGTGCGGATTGCGGTGCATAAAACAAAGGTGGAAAAAGGGTATACTTACCGTTTCAAAGAAGAAATCTTCTACATCCATCAGGTGATCCCGCATCGTATTCCGGTCTATCGTTTGAAGGATTACCAAGATGAAGTTATTAAAGGAACGTTTTATGAGCATGAACTGTCACCAGTCTCGAATCCACAGCAGAAGGAACACGCAATTGATTTTATTGTTAAGCGGCGCGGAAAGAAAGCACTAGTCCGTTGGTTAGGTTACGGACCCGAACACGATTCTTGGGAACCACTATCATGTTTGAAGGAGCGCCTTTCTACATAACCTTACCCAGTGATGTCGCCACAGAGGCGGCCAACACGCCCTCCAACTGGACTACCAAACTGAAGCATCCCATTACCTTGAAGGGCAAATGGGAAATGGCCCTGGTGGAACTGCAGTATTTAAATTCTTTCTATACTCTACCTACCGAGCAAAAAATTCAACTGGATATTGTCCGCGAATTTCGGGTAAAAAAAGAAGACTATTGATAGCGTCAATTACGTTGTACACCAAGAAATTTTGACGGTTCCTCCCGGAAATTATAAGAATGCCGAGCTTTTACTGCAAACCGTCAACAACTTAGCTCCTACAATCGGACCGTACATGGTGGATGACGCTGTACATCAGGATAAAAGTGCTTTGCCGGATAACAAAGCTTTCAACTTGCAATTTTTAACCTCAACAAACCACCGAGTGAAACTGCTTATTGGCAACGATCGAGTGTCAGTTACGTTTCCCCCTGGATCCGTTACCTTGCAAAAAAATACTAGGGTTTGAACAAGCGGAATTTAAACCAGATGTACCCGCAGAAACTCACTCCAATGCACTGGGACCCTTTCCGTTTGTTACCAAAACCAGTAGCATCAAGTACTTGTCATTCCTCAGTAAAGCTCCTCCACCTAAACTGACCACCTTCTTGTCGGAACGACCGGTGAACACCATGCTGGGGAACCAAAGCCTGTTTCTGTACAGTGATGTTGCAGACTACAGCCTGATTGGTGATACTGCCGCGCAGTTTTTGCGCGCTGTACCTATTAGAGGGGAGGTCAACCAAATTGTGGAAGCACGTTTCGACATTCCCCACTATGTTCCCGTATTACGCCAACATTTCGAAACTATTCATTTAACTATTGCCAACGACCTGGGTGACGACGCTAAATTTCAGACGCTAAATCACTAGTAAAATTACATTTTCGACCACAACGCTTATACTGAAAATGCCCCTCGTCGCCTATGTCCCAGACCCGCGACGCTACGAAAACGTTTTCGTGAGCCAAACGGGAGGAAGTGCTCTCATTCGCTATCGTGGCACACTACAAAATGGATCCGGGTTCCCACAAATTTTGAAGAATTTATTTGCCAAAATTACCAACTTTGCCAAACCGATACTGCGTAGAGCAGCGCCGCATGCTAAAGCTGCTTTGGAAGCCGCCACCCCTCACTTGCAAGATGCGGCAACCGGCGTTATTAAAGAAGCAGGAGCGGCGATTGGTAAACGCCTAGTTTCGCAAGAAGGAGAAGGCGTTCGGAAGAAACAACGTGTTAAACGTAAAGTACATCGCATTAAACGTATTCCGCCAACCAGCATTCCGGACTTTTTCTAAACAATGGCAATGCTCATGATGGAACATTCCGAACCGGCCATGCAGCTGGAAAATCAGCTGTTTGCCTTGCCGGCTACATTAACCGACCGCTGGCGTACCGAACACGAGAAACTGAACCCTACAACTACTTTGACCGACAATGGATCCGCTGGTGACATTAATTTCTTTATACCACCTAGTACGGCTGGTCTGCTCAGTTTGGCAGATATGATATTGGAGTTGGAAGTGGGCATCAAAGTGCGTAAAACTACCGGTGACTGGGAATTGGTAACCGCGGATGATGGGGTGGCACCGGTCAATAATTTCTTGCACTCGCTCTTCTCATCCTGTCATGTAACGGTAGCCAATCGACTGATCTCGGATGCCGCCACGTTCTATCCGTACCGAGCATACTTTGAGTCATTGCTATCGCATAGCAAAGAGGCTCAAAGTAGCCAGTTGACTTCGGCTGCATTCTATTTGGACACGCCCGCCAAACATAACGATGAGACGTCTAATCAAGGAGAAAAGAGCCGTAAGGCTTTATTTCAAACCGGACAATATGTTCAACTTTCTGGAAGACTATTTTCGGACTTGTTTGACCAAAGCAAACCACTGTGCACAGGGGTTCCTGTGAACATCCGTCTGGTAGTCAGCCGCCCTGAATTTGCCCTGCGTGTGTGGGATAAAGATGCCACGAAAACGTTTAAGCCCTTCATTCGCAATGCTCGGTTGTCTATCCGACGCTACATTCCTCACCGGATTTTCTGACAGCTGTTGCTGGTGAATTGTTAAAGAAAACCGTCAAATATCATGTTGAGCGGATAGTTATGCGCGTGTCGGACATTCCGCAAAAGACGCAAAGCACCGTGGTCAGCAATCTACAGATTGGGCAAATACCCAAAGTCGTGTTCGTTGGATTTGTCGATAGCGAAGATTTTCACGGATCCATCAAAAAGAATCCGTTTAACTTTCAACATTTCAAACATTACACAACTTAGTGTGGAAGTGGATGGTCAGAGCTTCCCTAGCAAACCCTATATAAGTGATTTTGAACACAACTTATCCTTGGAGTGCTACGATGGTTTGCTCAATACTCTGGGATACCGACCGAGTTTGCAAGGCGGACTACCGTTCAACCGCACCGAATATAATCAAGGATATACCGTATTTGGTTTTGACCTTACACCAGGACATACTGGCCGCGGACCTTTGACCTTGATAAAACAAGGAAATCTGAGTGTATCAGTTTCCTTTGCTAAACCATTGACGACAACAATCATGATGGTGTGCATGCTGATTTATGACAGCATCATCGAAATTAATCAACATCGCCAGTTGATTGCGGATTTTTCAACATGAACACGGAGCAAATTCACCACTGTCTGCAGGGAAATCCTGTTACCACCCAGCTGTTCCGCGGTGTGTTTGCCAGTGACCAAGTTCCGCTATGTTTAGCCCCGTACCCTGGAGCATGTGTAGTTAACACGGACCCCTCTGACCAAAATGGCGCACACTGGATTGCTTTGCTACAAACCCAAGCGGGAATCTTGGAAGTGTTTGATTCGTATGGTAAAGCGTTGGAAACGTATTCTCAGCACTTCTCTATGCTTGCTCAGAATAATACTATTGTCTGTCAAGACGAACAGTTTCAGTCCGAATATAGTACCGTGTGTGGTGAATATTGCTTATTTTTTGTTTTGAGACGCGCTAGCGGCGAATCTTGCACTAATATTGTACATTTATTTACCGATAATCGAACAAGCAACGACAAGATGGTGTGTCAGTATGTACTATGTAAATTCTTTTTTTGATATCAATACAGCACTAGTTGACGGATCTTTTCTCCGTCAGATATGTCAACGATTAATGAAATGAACCATGCAAAACGATCTGTTCAAAGAAATAAATAGAACAAATGCCGTGTTATACTGTAGTGACAACCATAAAATGCATTACAGAAATCCTAAGTTAAACTTGGTTCAGAGAGCAGTTTACTTGCATACGGATTTGATTTTCATGTGTATCCAAATACTTCACCACATCCAAACTTAAGGCTTGCTTAAAGCTCAGTTCTTCAAAACCAAACAAAATGCCATGCACAAAACGAGCATCCAACAGACGTTGCACAGCATCTTTCCATTCCGTATCCGTTAACACGTCCCGGAAATCAGGGCATCTTTCATGAACTCGTTTCACTAGCATCAATAATAGCGTCGCACAACTTCTCATGACAAAGACCTTTTTTGTCAGCATCCACATCCTCAACGATTTCGTCCACACTGACAATATGTTTGAAGAGAGTGAAATCCCTTATGAGTTCTTTCAACGCTTCGTAGCACTTCTCGTTCAATGAAATCCCGTTTCTCGTGGGCATCAAATCACCTTCCTGAGACCGCTGATAGCGGCGAAAGCTGGCCACGTTAGGACGGCTCCAGCTGAAGTACACCCCTCGGTCCAGTAAGAATAAAGGAGGTAAATTTCCATTGGAATGATCCAGATCGGCT